TGTAAGTAACTTTGCAGTGAGACTCAAGCTTGGTGCACCTAGTTGTTGAGTTTCATGGCATTCACATTTTTTTGTGCACAATAATCATACCTGATCAACAGGTGATGTAGTGACTATTTCATCCTCCATTTTATTCTGCATCGTTGTTTTCACTTTCTTGAGGTTTCTCTCTTGTTGAATTAAGTCATACAATCTAAAAACAGAAATGCAATATAAAATTGTTTTGCCAGCCAGGCCAACTGTTTCACAAAAACATCTCTTGGTCCAGATATCGTGATTTTTATGAAAATGTCATCCATGCACATTCAACGTTAATATAAGCAAGATATTTTACAAACAGGGAACCCTTATCGAATACAATGTTAAGGGCTTGTGACTCAATAGTCAGAACAGCTTGTGACAAACTATCTTTCAATTTGCCTTTCCATTGAGTCTGTGACTCCACACTTCTAAACTGTCCAGCTATCCAGTTGTTTTCATATGTAGCGCATGGACATTCCAAAATGTTACCCCATGTGTGTTTGGCTGAATAATTGTATTTTGACTGATGCGTAAATTATGAGTGAAAAATTCAACAATGGATTGCAGCACATGCACCATTTATGACTGGTTCATAGACTCTCTCAACAGAAATGATAGGGGGCGCTCTAACACTAAACACCCTTGGCTGGTTCCCGCCTCAAGTGTCATGGTGTACCAAGCCACAAGAGGCCGGTAACTAGTAACCAATCCGGCATTCTGATTGGTCCGTCACTTTCTCGTTGCTTGTTCTATTTCCCTTGACTACCTGACGTCATCGCTTACGCTTGTGGCCGTTCAGGGGTTTCCTTTTACTTTCGAAAGTTGGGCGAATAAAAAACTGTTTCTTTTGTTATAAATTTGCACAGAAACAGCGAATATGTAAATCTAAGCAGGCAGTATGTATGAGCATGGCTTTATCGTAATGTTACAGACACGTTTACGCAGAACGGAACTTGGAATGTTTTCAAATTACGTCACTCAGTCACGTGCCTTCCAGCCGGAAAACCGGCCAAAATGGAACAATATGGCGATTAATAGTTACCTGCGTTCTACTTGCCATTTGCAAAGGACGTCGGGAACCAGCGAATAAACACCCCCTCTCTCAAGACACCTACAGAGGGCGCTATCACTTACCTTTCATTCCACAAAAGAACTGCACTGCATGTCAATCTTTTGATTTCAATGATGTCATTTGACAACTTGTAAAGAGCACTGTACAATTCAGCTGTTAATGAAAATTCAAACACAGCTATGTCTCAGACATTGTGTATTTTGTAATACCTGTGAGTCATTCAATTTCCAGAAAACAAGGAAAAACCTGTTTATTCTTTAAAAACGTCATCAAGATGCTTTAGCGTCAAAAAAAACAAAAACTATGAGATTTGCAGAATAGCCACCTTGCCAATAGCCGAAGATCACTAGCCAATTCGGTTGTGATTGACTTTTCAGTATCTTCGGATGTCATCGCCGACTAAATCATGCGTGTGATGCTCTGTTCAATGTTTGAATATAGATGATTTTAAAAACA